GGAGTGGAGTCAGTTACCAGAGTCTACTGAATGCTGAGACCAGGGGAGGCAGAGATGAGGGAGTGCTGCAGCTGCACTGAAAGGTGCAGGATTTGGCAGAGTTCTATTCTCCTCTCTGCTTCCGACTGCTGAGACAAGGTGGGGGCAGAGACAAGGGTTTACCTGCAGGAAAGGTGCAAGGGCCATGTGAAATGGACTGGAGGGCCTGAGACAAGGGTTTACCTGCAGGAAAGGTGTAAGGGCCATGTGAAATGGACTGGAGGGCCTGATTTGACCCGCGGGCCTTGTGTGTTTTGACACCTGTGCTCTAACTGATACAATTGTAGGACAGCTTCTCCTTTAAAAAAAAAAAAAAAAAAGAAAAAGATTTGCTGGCCATATTACTATGTGAAAACAAAGAAAAAAAGACTAATGCAAGCACCACATCTAAGAATTGGTAAGCTGCAATAAATGTTTGCTTTTGTGGTTATTACTGCCTTATAGGGTTAAACTGTGCAGGAAAAAACAGCTTGCATGGACATTGAACTTTGTAAACATTTTAATACGTTCCTGTGTTTGCCCGATCAATGATTATTAGAGAAGGTCAAATATTGCCGAGTGTAACTACGACGGGCTTGTCCTAGTACTTGGGGTATGTGTGATATGAAAAATGTTGACGTATTTTTTCAGAGTAAAATGTACTGTAAGTAATTACTTTTTTTTTGAGAATGTCAAAAAGCAGAATAACCAGAATTCAGAACCTGAATTCTATTTGTCTTAGGGTTACCTCCTTAGGCTTTATACAGTCAGGTACAGTATCTTTATGTGCTCTGTTGTGCTTTGGTCGAGCCACCAAGGCCTAGCAGGATGTACAGAACACAATGTCATACTGGAAAGCATGGCTCCTATATACCTGACGAGGATATGACGAAGGGTCAGAGGTAAAAACACAGGCATTGTTCATCGTCCTCCACGTTCACTAATATATGCCATGTGTGGGAGATACTCTGCTCATATTACGTGGTCTGCTCTGCTCCATCTGCTGTGTTGTCATTCGTTCACTGCAGCTTGGCAAGCTCGGGCCACTGGAAATGCCTGTCGTATACCAGCCCATAGTGACACGCTTGTTAAAATAGGAAGCTTACTTGGCTAGCTTTGACATTTTACCCACTTCTTCTGTGCTGCTGTTAAGGCAACTAAAGATTTAAGAGGATAAGGCTCAGGTCACACTAATGCGATTTCTGATGTGACTTGAGTCACAAAGAATCGCATGACAAGGGGAATCAAATTATTATCATCAATGGTGGACACATCAATACAGCTCAGCACGGTGCATTTTTGGAAAAGGTTCCTGTGCTGCGACTTGGTCTCGTAGAATATTCGAAAACGCAACCAGGTCACATATAAGTCAGACTACATAATCACACTGAAAAGTGTGCCAGAATTGCAACACATTGCATATTTTTTGTGGATAGTCTGTCTCTTAAATACAGACAAGGACAGGGGTGCTGCTCTGACCATTGCCTTTAACAGTAGTTTGGCGGTAGGATTGGTCGCCAGTTCCTTACTGCCATCTGGCATTTTTTTTTTTAAACTGGTCTTTGCCTAAGGCAACCGGCTTTCACCTGTTAGTCTTCTGAGGTTAGTAACAGGACAGCTAATACTTAGTTCATTTTCTATCCAAAGGGTCCTTTCACACGGAGCACAGCCGTTTAGCGGATCTGCTTGCTAAGTGGGGGATCTCTCCGCTGATCCCCGCTGTGCAAGCGGGTGACAGATCTGTGTCTGCTCCGCTGCTGCAGAGCAGACACAGAGCTGCTCACTCTCCTCAATGGGCGGTCGGATGAAAACTGACGCCCTGTCTGTTTTCATCTGACGGACGGAAGGGGAATTGGATCCCCATCCGTCCCTTTTTGGCGGATCGGATGTAGGCTGGTATAAAATGGACACATGCCCTTTTATACCCGGTGCTCCATAGAGGAGAATGCAGGTTTCGTTCTGGTCCACCTGAAAAACGGGCACACGGACCCGATCGGAAAGTCTGTGTGAAAGCGCCAAGAGTGTCTGAAAGAGGAGCTAGCAGATTTTACCTTCTAAAGCAGTGGTTCTCAACCTGTAAGTCACGACCCCTTTGGGGTCACAGGGGTCACCTAAGACCATCGAACAACACATTTCCAATGTGTAAAGAGTAAATAATTTTATGGTTGGGGGTCACCACAACATGAGGAACTGTATTAAGGGGTCGCGGCATTAGGAAGGTTGAGAACCACTGTTCTAAAGCATTTAGGGCTCTTTCACACGGGTTGGACGGATTAGCGGATCCGCTTGTTTAGCGGGGGATCTCTCTGCTGAGCAAGCAGATGACAGCTCTGTGTCCCCTCCACTGCTGCAGAGCAGACACAGAACTGCTTGCTCTCCTCAAGGGGCGGTCGGATGAAAACGGATCGGATGTTGGCGGGGGTGTAAATGGACACATGTCCGTTTATACCCGCCACTCCATAGAGGAGAATGGAGGTTCCGATCGGGTCCACCTGAAAAACGGGCAGACGGACTCGATCGGAACGTCTATGAAAGAGCCAAGAGTGTCTGAAAGAGAAGCTGGCAGATTTTACCTTCTGCGCATTTAGGGTCCTTTCACACGGGCGCTCCATTATTATTATTTTTTTTTTTTACATCCTTTACCAATGCAAAAACGGACCGTATGTCCGTTTTTACATTCGTTTTTGTCCATATACATCTGCTCGTCCGTTCCGTTTTTTTTTACCGAAGAAAAATAGGGTTTTCTTCCGTTCAAAAAAACGGATGTTAACAGATGCGGACATTAACGGATGTAAACAGATGATCATCCGTTTACATCCGTTAGTCCATAGAAATACATTGGTGTCCGTTTTTCATCCGTAAATGAACAGATGAAAAACGGGCATACAGAACGCCCATGTGAAAGGGGCCTTAAGAAAATGAGAATCCCGTTTTTATGATTGACATTTTTCTTACAGATGCTTTGATGAAACCTGGCCATTAGAAATGTTTGTATAGAACAGGGAAGGGTTAGAACCCCTGTCAGATTTGTATTGCAGTCACAGTCAGGTTCTTATAGCTGTGTGCTCATTGGGTCACATCATTTCCTGGAATCTCCCCAGTAGGAACATAGCCTGAAATGAGAACTCTGACAGATGTGCTGTAACCTATAGCAATCAGTTACTGTCTCTTAAAGCGGGACTAAGCCCTCCTATTCTTTACAGCCAAGGAAGCTGCCATCGTAGCCTCTGTTTGATCTGCCGTTGTTATGGTACTGCACATGTGATCAACTATGACACCAACTGTTTGATGTTTGAGAGCGCAAGCAACTGTGACAGATCTCATTCGGTGGGTAGGGGAATGTTAGATGGACTAGCAGATTTAGATACGCTAACAAATTGAACTCCATCTCACACTTTATAAGTAGGTACAGCAATCTGTTTTTTTTTTTTTTTTTGTTCTTTTTTCCTTTTGGGATAAAGTTTTTACAAAAATAAAAGCTGTCCATTGTAAGCACTCCTGTCAGTGGCAAATGGTTTGTCTCATCCCTCTAACTCAGGGGTGTCAAACTCCATTTAATCGCGGTCCGTATCAGCATTATGGTTGCCCTTTAAAGGGCCAGTTGTATCTGTAAGACTAGATGTCCAGACCACCCCACCCCCCCATTACCCCCACATGCCTTGAATTTATGGTTTTGGGAAACCGTTAAATCTGTGGGTTTGGTTCTGCTTTCCTGGATCTGACTACAGAAAATAGATCTCATTGGACGCTATAGGTTGCTGCCATATGTAGATGGTTGTTGCACTTTGCTCTTCATTCTTTAGTCTTGCAGTGTCTAGTCCTCTCTTTCTTACAGCGAAGACACCTGCATTAACCATTAACTGTTCAGCATTAACCAGTTCAGAAAACTTGATGACCAGTAGAAAACAATTGACTTTTTATTTAAAGGTTGCACTGGTTGAACTGTTCAAACTGTGAGACTTTTAGAGATCTTTTTGTCAAGAATAGCAAAACAAATGCTAAGAAACGTATAGTCAGTGGAACTAAAGCAGGTTGAAGTGATCTGATAGGATAGGGCCTACAAAATCTGTCAACATTTTAAAGTGTTACTAAACCCAGGACCCTGCATTCACTATATCCGGTCTCCCACAGTACACAGAACATAGAAATGCAATTATTTTAGTAAACATAAACTGCTAAATACATTTTCTCATCAGAAGTATATAGCAGTCTTGTGACTTTTATTAGTGTCCAGCCGAGCACTGTTTAAAGCTTGTAAGAGGAGTTTTCATTCTGCTTTGACTGTCCTATGAGGCTGCATGACCCCTGACCCTCTGTCTAGGCAGTGCTGATTTGGCCCTGTGCTGATCACATGCACCCTCTCAAAGGAAAAAAAACTAGCAATACACACCAAACTGAGAATGTGCAGAGTGACTCCTAGAGCTCTGTACTATCAGCAGATGGATTGTTGGCAGTAGAAGGGGAGGATCAAACAGCCTTTTTTACACAATGCAGAGGATTAACCTCTTAGGTTCCACAGTGAGTATAACCAGCATGCTTTACTGCATATACAGACTGATTTTACTATAGGGTTGTTAGAACAGGAAGTAAAGAAAACTCTCCCCAGGTCCTTTCTGTTGTACAATTGTCAGACAGTACAAGAAGCAAGGGAAATTCTCTACTGCCTGCCTGATAGGTGTCAGAACAGGATGTGAGGGAAAATCTCCCCACTCCAGTCCCAATCAAACAACACTAACACATTCTCTAGTAGAATCAGAAAGGTTTCCCTATAAGAAATAAGGAATGTGTTCCCTAGGGGTGATTCATCTGATAATGAGAAATCCCTTCTGTGGTGACCTGCACAGGATTTAATATCCGACCGAGGTTCTGACCAGGGGCGGACTGACAACTCATGGGGTCCCTGCACAATAGGGGATCATGGGGCCCCTGTGTCCTTGCCCAAACTCAAAAACGCCTATGAAAAAGGTACTGGGGCATCTCATGGGGCCCCCTACTGACCCCGGGCCCTCGGGCAGTGCTCGAGTTTCCAAATGGTCAGTCCGCCCCTGGTTCTGACACTCCTGGAAGTGCTGAATGCTGATGGAGGCTGCAGCTCTGGAATGGAGGAATAGTAGCACTTGCAGGCCTTTATAGTAGGGAGTAATAATATCTTGTATATCGCAGGAAGTTTTCATCTTGAATATTTATTTATTTTAATTTTTTTTGCAGTTGAATGATTACTTTGATAACCAGTGAAGATGTCAAAAACGTGCAAATTAAGATTTTTCCAGTTTGGGAAAGTGTGACTATTGAATGATTGCTATGTTAGCACAGCAGTAATGGAACCTGTAGCAATGCACTGACTAGACAAGGGTTTCCCAGCCAGGGATTCCGTGAGCAAGGAGCAATTTCTGCCTCTCGGATAAGTTCTCACTGACACCATTGATCTTTTTAGCTATCTATAAGGGGTCATTCTTCCCAATGACCAGAAAGTTGTAGATACAGGGGTTTCCTGAGACTGGAAAGTTATTTCAAGGGTTCCTCTGTGTTGAAAAGGTTGAGATGCTGGACTGGACTGTAGTTTCATCACAGTTGCTTTTCAATAAAATTTATAGAGACATTTTAAGAGACTTTTTTATAGCTCAAGTCCTAAGCCCTGTCATTACTAGTGAAGCATTATGTGAAATGGAAAGTTACTGCAGTTTTGTAATCCGTGCCTTCAGTTCCATTGTCACATTCAAAGGTAATCTGGAAGGGGGGAGGCTAAAAAGGAAGCTTAAAGTGATATTAAAGGCAATATTAAAAAACAAAAAAAGCAAAAACCATACCATACTTACCTGCTCTGTGTGATGGTTTTCTAAGGGCTTGTTCACGATAGCTTTGCTGCTTTGAAGAGCAGTTCACTTTCAAATTGCTCTTCAGAGAGCATTTGACACATGTTCTAATGCCTCCTCACCGCCTGCTTTAACCCCTTTAAGGCCTGAACTGGCGTGCTAGCAGAGCAGCCCCATTAACATGTATGAGTCTGTGTAGCATTGCGCCCATGGTGTGTGTCTCTGCAGCTAAAAGCGGTAGCAGTTGCAGGGTATTAAGAATATGGCTCAACCCCAGGGTTTTACTACACCCCCATCGCTAGTGTGAACGAGTCCCAACAGCGGAACAATTTTGCCCAAGTTTCTGATGTTCACAGATATTTAGGGTTCACTCTGGTACCTGCTGACATCCCCATATTGTAACAAAATCCCACAGTAGCTGGGACTTTAATGGCAGAAATGCACAAACTAATATAAAAAGAAAATTACACCAATCGTTATTATATGAACAAATATATAAAATGATCTCATGGCTGTTAATCTTGCATACACGAATATGCACTGCCACTATAGCAAAGTTGTTACATAAGAACTTGATATGCGGAGATTGACTCTGAAACGCGTCAGAAAATTTCTGACAAATAGCTCCTTCTTCAGGCAAATTCTGCAACAGGTGCAGTGTAATCTATGACAAAATTAAACTTACATTTTAGAAAGAGGGACTGCTAATATACAAATTAGGTGATCTTTAAGAACCAAAAACCCAAGAATAATTTTGATGTTGGTGTCCAGGCTCTGCTTTAAGAACTGGGAGGGATCAACAGGAATCATGCTTTACGTCCATCATTAGCAAATATGGTATGCTGAGGAGGAGACCTGGATTCACTTGGGAATCCAAATCACTGATCATTTCTGGTTCCAGTGACAGTGTTGTTACCAGAACAGGCAGTGAGGGGATATATCCCAAATAAGGACTTAAGCTGGCCATAAATGAGTCAAAAACCGAACGTTCTGTTGGTAAAAAAAAAAAAAAAATAGCTCATATAATTGTGCCATAATTTGCTGCGCTTTTCTAAGAAATAACCTAGCATGTTAGATCAGGCACTTTCGATCGAGGCACGAAAATCACGTGTCGCAGCTGGTACACAAATGGTGTGAAAAATTAACGATTTGATGATCAACACGCATTTTGTTCAGTTTGAGACTCCTCTGGTTGGATTTAGACCAAAAAAAATAATTTTTGATCTAGCGAATGTAACTGATTTAAAGCTCTACAGACATTAACTTGACAATTGTACAGCATTGGCCAGCAGTTGTACAGTGTTGGCCAGTTGGTACAGTGTTGGCCAGCACTACAGAGGAAAAGGAATTGGGGGTACTTATTTCAGATCGCAAAATGAGCAAACTGTGTGGCCAGGCAGTGGAGAAAGCAAGTAGGGTTCTAGGATGCATCACTAGAGGGGTCTCCAGCAGGAGGAAGGAGGTCCTGATTCCCCTGTATAGATCTTTACTTAGACCTCATTTAGAATACTGTGTCCAGTTCTGTAAACCTCACTTACAGAAAGATATTGATAAGACAGAACGAGTCTAGAAATGGGTAACAAATATGGTGAAAGGTCTGAGAGATAAAAACATATCAAGAGCAACTTCAGGAGCTTAACATGTACAGTCTGGAGGAAAGAAGGGAAAGGGGAGACATGATTGAAACCTTTAAATACATCAAGGGGGTGAATAAAGTTCAGGAGGGCAGGATTTTCAACATGAAACCAAAATCGAGAACACGGGGACATGACCTTAAATTAATGGAGGAAATTTCAAAACTTATCTCAGAAAGTATTATTTTATTGAAAGAGTAGTTGATGCGTGGAAAAAAACTTCCATCAAAGGTAGTGAGCCAGTCAGCAGTAAATAGTTGCAAACATGCTGGGACAAGCATAGATCTATACTCAGACAAAATAGTTAAACATAAAAACAACCCCCTCAAATAAAAAAAAAAAAAAAAGAGCAGACTCGATGGACCACTCGGTCTTTTTCTGCTGTCGCTTTTCTATGTGACTTTTGTGGAGCCATCCACTGTTGGGGGGGGTATAGACAAGGGACATGAATGAAAACATTTATCTAAAAGACCACTGTCCCTTCCCTCCTGGGAATGGGACAGAACAGCACCAAGCATGCTGAAAGGGTGGAACATTTGTTCAGGTTACTAGAGAAAGATGTTTCCCACACTGACCGTGTGATGATTATATGTTTGTTGTCTGTTTACACCCTTTGCCCATCATTCAACAGGTTCAGGCCTGAGAATGGTTTGATACTTTCTGTAATTTTATATAATTTTTCAAATTTGAATCATAGTTTATGAGGTACATTGTGTTGTTGCAGCACTGGGCATTCAGCCAAGAAGTAAAACTAAAGTGTCTTGTAAATGTAGTCTCTCCCTTCCATATTATTTAATAAGATGCGCTAATAGGACTTGATGTTTCAATTCCCATGGTAAGTAGGCACTCTTGATGTTGGGATCAGTGCGATGAAAAGGGGTGTAGGGTAGGTATGACATCTGGACCATCAGGAGATAACTCTTCTTCTTTGACATTTCATTGGCGTGCCCACTGTGTCTTCAGATGGTCTTTGGTGATACCTGGCATCCTGGGTAAACCCCTATGTTAGATCCATACTTTCCTATCTCCTCTTGCAGCCCAGTTGTTCTTTTCTTCTAATCCAGTTGATGCTTTTTTTTTTCTGCTGCATTTGATAATAACTTGATTGTTTGTTTCCCTTCCATCAGTTTCAGGGAACTGGTGGTAGATTTAGCAATGAAATTCCTACATTCCACTTTTACAAAGAAAATCATGATTTCCAGCCATTCTGAGTAGTTCCAATTGTCAATTCCAAGTGTTTAGCTATTTTTTCCTCTTATTTTATTCTGCACTCCAAACTGCGGACCAAGGGCTGGATGTAGCCTTTTGCTAGCCCTTGGGGTACTATATACTCATAATGATATGAGGCACTATTCCTCCCACTGACACCAACAGTGAGGTATAATTCTTGCCACTGACACCAATGATGGGGCACTAGTCCTCCCATCAATACCAATGATGGGGCATAATTCCTGCCAGTGACACCTATGATTGGGGCATTATTCCTCCCACTGATACCAATGATGGGACACTGTTCCTCCCACTGATACCAATGATGGGATAATATTCCTTCTACTGACATCAATGATGGGATAATTTTCCTCCCACTGATGCCAATGGTGGGGCACGATTCCTCCCACTGATGCCAATGGTGGGGCACGATTCCTCCCACTGATGCCAATGGTGGGGCACGATTCCTCCCACTGATGCCAATGGTGGGGCACGATTCCTCCCACTGATGCCAATGGTGGGGCACGATTCCTCCCACTGATGCCAATGGTGGGGCACGATTCCTGAGGCTGGGCCTGGAAAGTTTTCTATCCCCACTGGCCACAATCCAGCCCTCCCAAACACTGAAGGACAGTAAACTGGCCCTTTGTTTGAAAAGTGTGGAGACCCGTGTTCTACACCATCTTCCCATGGTGCTGTCAGCATCATAACATATACCAGCTTGGTTGTCATGGCCCATAGGACCGTGTCAGATCGGAGTGCTGTAAGTACAATGTCTATGAAAAACGTGATTGATTTTTGTGTTTGTTTGTTTTTTAATCCAAATTAATTTCCTACGAAGAGAATGTGGTTTTGTAGCTGGCTGGTGCACTCCTTTGCTGCAGGGTTTAATTATGCAGTTGCTTTTACCTTAAAGCAAATAGTTGAATAGAAGTTTGACAGCTTATGACATACTTTGAGGGCTATAAATCTTTGGAGTGGCCTTGCAGGCTACTTGTGCATATATTGGGTGTAGTTGGCTTTAAATCTGTAACACAATGTGAAATCCTGCTTTTCTTGCTTTGGTTAGCACAGCTGACTGTAGATGGGGAAGCTTTTGGTGAACATTGCAGTGAGATCTGCCTTTGAACTTGCATCCTGTAGAGCATGTTGCTGAGACCCAACACATTGTTATTCTGCATCTCGGGTTCTATTGCATTATGTAAATGGTGAAGATATATAAAGATATAAATAAAGATATATAAATATCCATATTTTTGTTAATTTAAAAAAAAAAAAAAAAAAAAGTGTCCGGCCTCTTTCACACAAGCGTATACCTGTGCAAGGGTCATGTTTTGCCTGCACAATGTTCTGTGCATCCATATGTAGGTAGTCACATTCATGTCAGTTGGAATGCAGTTGCATGAACATTGCCGTCGCTCCCAATTTGACATCTGTGTGGGTGCAGGTCCCTGAACTCACACTGTCTGTGTTTGGGGATCCGCACCCACACAGGTATGCTCTTAAGTACACCCATGTGAACGAGTCCTTAGTCTTCTGAAATCGCTGTGGTCTAGTCACATGATC